GTAGGGAAAAAGTAGTAACCTCTCTGCCTTCTCACTAAAGTCATTTTCTCTTTTCATTTCTGGGTGATCATTTAGCCTAGAAGGGGGCATGAAGCCATCCCATCAGGAATCTTTCAGTGCAATCCTAAGTGGAGTTACTCTGCATTTGGTTGATTTGTTTGTTTACTAACATTTGGACTCAAACTTTGTTCTGCTGCTTCAAAGCAATACAGCTACCCATTTGAATATTATAAAATACTGTAATTTTTGCAGAGTAACATAACTCACACAAAATTTGCATCAAAACAGTTTTCAGAATGATCCTGGTAAATATGGGTCAACAATTAACTGACTACCAGGCCAGAAGACATTGTTCGCATCAACTGAGATGGTACAAAGGTAACCAGGACAAAATTGAACCTCAAATTATCTTCTGGCTTCATGGTAGAAGGACAAGAGTCTAGGATCATCCAAAAGGCTGTTTGTAGGGAAAAAGTAGTAGCCTCTGTTCCTTCTCTCTAAAGTCATTTTCTCTTTTCATTTTTGGGTGATCATTTAGCCTAGAAGGGTGCATGAAGCTATCCCATCAGGAATCTTTCAGGGAAATCCTAAGTGGAGTTACTCTGCATTTGATTGATTTGTTTGTTTACTAACATGACATTATTCAGACGGAGAAATACAGTTCTTTTATGAGTCCCTAGCTCAGTAAATTTCATTGTGAATAAAACTAATTTATAGTACAATCCTAAACACAACTATGCTTTTGCTGAGACCATTGACTTTAATAGATTTAGAAGGATGTAATTCTGTTTAGGATTACACTATTAGCCTTCATCTTCTCCTTCTGTGAACTGGTTCATCCTGCTCCTGGTTTCCACAATCTTCTTAGCTTGCACCAGCAATTAAAACTCAACCAACAAAAGGAGCAGACCTATTTATCCATTGCATTTGTGTGATGCTGACAGAATCTGTATAATAAAAGCACCAAGAATCTCTCTGTGCCTTAGGCTTCTATGACAAACATGTTTTACTTTTCCATTGCACAAAAATTACCAGACCCTTATAGAACAGTGTTTTTAAAAACCGCAACAGAATACCTCTCCTATCAAATTGTCACCAGTAACAACTGCAATCTTCATGTCGACATCAGCCTTTTTCGCCACCTGTTGCAGAGCCTCAGCACAGGCAAGCGGATTAATCCCACCAGCATTGCTGACAACGCGGACACCTAAGCAAGACACAAGGTTCCAAACTCATAAACACTGTGTACACGGCTAATACACACCAAATAAATATCTTCCTCAAGTATTTTTGTTAATTTTGTTTGACACAGTTGGGTAGCATATGTGTGTCTCATTTGACTAAAACATGCCTTTAGCCGCTTGCCTACTTCCCTGCAGTGAAACAGGATTAGAATTTGTTCTTTATTTATTTTTCTTTCAGGCTGCTGATGTGTAACAAATGACACTAATTTGTTTACTTAGGCAAACCAACACATTTTTGTGAGTTTTTGTGGATAATTTGCTAGATTGTTATATTTGTGAATTATTTGTTAGAAATCAACTCCCTTATGAATCTATAGGACTACTACAACCATCTTCTGAGGCCCTGCTACAAGTGTTGCTACTTTTCAAAGCCTAAACTCTGTCTTAGTTTATCTATTATTACTTTCCAGAAGTTTTTAGCATGATCACATTTCTATCATACATATGTAATGTCCGATTTAAGAGTTTAAGAGTTCCAGCATAAGCTTGATGAAAATGTATGTGGTATACGGTATCATTGGTATACCCGTTTTACTACGTTTTCTTTAAACAGAAGACATACTGAAAAAGAACTCACCGAGGAGAGTATATCTCTATACTTCCTCCAAAATATCAAAACCAAGATCCTTATTCCACTTTAAATGCAATCTTAGTTGATTAGTAGCATTAGGGTTAAGCAGTAAGCCATATATCTTCGATAAAACATGTTTTCCTTCCCGAGAAATTAACTCTTCAAACTGAGTCAGTTTTCTTAAGGCTGCACTGCTGTGAATTTTTTAATGAGCAAATGTTTTAATGTTCAACTGTAACTATACCATGCTATTACTTGTTATGAAGACCAGGCCAAAAGGTATGATTCTGTTGTTAGGGACTATGTTCTTGTAAGTGTCTAGTCTGGATTGTTCCCACTTTTTAGGAGACCTCAACTGAAAACCCAGTAACCTATCCACTTTTCTTGTTTACATAGGATGAAACTAACGTGGATAGACCAGGAGACAGTTTTCTTCTAGAGATACCAAGTGCACACAATGACAGAACTATTATAATTGTAAACCATTTTCCTCTCAGATTTGTTAAACTAAAGGAAAACTTTTAATGTCCATTGAACATAGGCTTGTGGGCAAAAGGCTAGTAGCACCTGGTCTGGGTTATTTATAATCTATCTGCTAGGCTAATTTTGAAGCATCCTGATATATTTGTATGGACAATATTCCCAAGCCTCCATTGGATCAATTACACTGTGTAGTCCACCAATTAATCCAGTTTTTTTTTCTCTCCCTTATAAGTTCATTTATTATGCTCTCCCATTTCTTTACACTTTTCTCTGGAATTACTACAAGTAGATTGGCTAAAAAATAGCTTGATTTTGGTAGAATCATCATCTTGACTCCCATAAAAACAACCTAGTTTTAATGTCTAGTTTTAAAGCCGCCCTGAGCCTGTTCCGGCAGGGAGGGCGGGGTACAAATAAAATTAAATAATAAATAAATAATGTCTGTAATTATTGTTTGAATTTTTAAAGGTTTTGATTATATATGCTATTACTGTGTTAGGGCAAAAAGATGGGGTGTATATCTTGTAAAATGAATACCTTAATTGATTTAGTTTAATCTGTGGGCTTTCCAAAGGAGGAGAGGCAGTAGCCAGGCAGCCCTCTATCCCGCCCAGACCCAGGCCCAGCTAAGCACCTCCTTCTCCAGGAGCATTTGGTACTGAACTTTAATTTTTATTTGTATAGGATTTTGACTGCTGTAAGCCTCTTTGGGAGCCATTTTCTGTCTGAAAAGCAAATTAAAATATAGCAAGTAAAATAAAACTACATGCAGACTAAAATAACAGAAGTCTAATATTTTAAGATGTTAAACTAAAAGACAAGATTAGTTTTGCTTTCCTAGCCCAATACACACTATTTAAAAATACTGCAGCAATCTGAAACATGTGTTTTGTCCTACCTTTCTTATGAATATCCTTTATATAAGGAGCCATTGCAGTTAATACAAAATCAGGTGTATATCCCAAATCCTGAAATAAATAAATAACAATTAATTTGCAAACATTTTTATCAGGGCAGGAAAAGTTTCATTTTCTATGGGAGAGCATAAAAACCATTAATGTAAATAGTACTAAAAAAAAAAACCACTTTTCAAATCTACCTTCACAAAGCATAGGGTTGGTTTTTTTAAAAAAAAAAAAATGTTTCACCCCTTGGTCTTTTTCTGATTAAGCCACTGAAAAGAATCACTCAAAATATCTGCACTCATATCGCCCCCCAAGCAATAGCGGGGGGCGGGCAATTTTGGGTTATACTGGGAGGCAAGAAAGTCACACTGTGCAAGTAGAAATCTTTCTGCCCACAGAAATGCTGCACTGGATCCAGGCCAATGTGCATATCGCATGGAAACAGATATTCAGTGCTTCTTAGATCACAATTCATCAGAAGATTAAGTACACATCGGTACCTGTGTGTGTACTTTGGTAACCACTGCACATCTGTGGCCACAGAGAGAGAAAATTTCAGAAACATACATGAGACCTTTGAAGAGTTCTAAGATGAAAAATATCAGACAAATAATCCAGTCCTCATATTGCTAGTTATTAGTCCTACTGCTATTAATTTCAGTTATGATCCCAGTACAAGCACTGTGAAAGCTGAGCAGAAGACGCCACATTCGTTGCATCAGCAAGATAGTAAAGAACTTGATCTACTTTTTAAGTGTTCTTTAGGATATAATGCATGCTTTCTACTAACCTATTATTTGCCTGCCTGCATCTCTGGCATGATTCAGCTCAGTGACATTTTATTCCAAAAGTCATAGGACTTTCTTGGGCTGATATTTCCTAACAGAAGGATATAATTAAACCTAACATTTTGGCTAAGTGATGTTTCTAATCAATAAAGATCCCTGCAACTGAGGACTAGGTCCAATGTAACACTTTTTCTACCCCAGAAACATTCTGGAGGGACTCCAGTGGAAGAATATAATAGACCATGTTGTGTCAGAATTCATGTTTGTCGTCTTGGTGCCATACAAAAAACATATAGCGTTTCTACCATATATGTAATAGCCAACCAGCTGTCCTCAGTGTGGTTGAATTTTAAAAAGCTGTATCAGGCCATTCCAGAAAAAGGAATTACTCATGGGAAATTGTAAGGAGAAAATATGTCTTTATAAAATTAAACATAAAGGGGGAGAATACTTTTAAAAAACAGGATGACAAGGATTAACAGTGCTCTCCTAAGAACATTTTCCTGGAAGTAAGCTCCATTGAACAGACCTGAGTAGAATTCTGAGCCGACCTACTTAGTATGGCCCTGTAAAATGCTCTATAAGAAATTGAAGGCTGAGAGCATCAGTTAAAGGAGGGGAAATCAGCTTGTTCAAGTCCCTGGCAACTGAAGAGAGTTATAGAATGTAACATTTTGCGTAGTAGGGCACAGTGGCGTACTTAGCCTATCTGACATCTGGGACAGATAATTTTTTAACACCCCCCTGTATTTATTTATTTTTTTGCCATCAAGTCACAACTGACTTATGGCAACCCTGTAGGGTTTTCAAGGCAAGAGGCCTTCAGAGGTGTTTTGCCATGGCCTGCCTTTGCATCAGTCCCGCTTAACTTCTGAGATCTGATCTCAGCCTAGGCTGGGGCTATCCAGGTCAGGGCCCCTCCTCTGTATGACAAATTATTTTCATAAATTTTCATAAATCAATAATCATGAAATAAAATGAATAATAATAATGGCCAGAAAATAGTTTCAGGTGGGTAGCTGGGTTGGTCTGAAGCAACAGAACAAAGTTTGGTCTAAAGGGTGCCTTTGGACCCAAACTTTGTATTCAATGGCCAGAAAAGAAATTCAGACAGTGGGGGAAAAAATTGTCATTCCAGAAAAAGGAATTACTCATGGGAAATTGTAAGGAGAAAATATGTCTTTATAAAATTAAACATAAAGGGGGAGAATACTTTTAAAAAACAGGATGACAAGGATTAACAGTGCTCTCCTAAGAACATTTTCCTGGAAGTAAGCTCCATTGAACAGACCTGAGTAGAATTCTGAGCCGACCTACTTAGTATGGCCCTGTAAAATGCTCTATAAGAAATTGAAGGCTGAGAGCATCAGTTAAAGGAGGGGAAATCAGCTTGTTCAAGTCCCTGGCAACTGAAGAGAGTTATAGAATGTAACATTTTGCGTAGTAGGGCACAGTGGCGTACTTAGCCTATCTGACATCTGGGACGGATAATTTTTTAACACCCCCCTGTATTTATTTATTTTTTTGCCATCAAGTCACAACTGACTTATGGCAACCCTGTAGGGTTTTCAAGGCAAGAGGCCTTCAGAGGTGTTTTGCCATGGCCTGCCTTTGCATCAGTCCCGCTTAACTTCTGAGATCTGATCTCAGCCTAGGCTGGGGCTATCCAGGTCAGGGCCCCTCCTCTGTATGACAAATTATTTTCATAAATTTTCATAAATTAATAATCATGAAATAAAATGAATAATAATAATGGCCAGAAAATAGATTCAGGTGGGTAGCTGGGTTGGTCTGAAGCAACAGAACAAAGTTTGGTCTTAAGGGTGCCTCTGGACCCAAACTTTGTATTCAATGGCCAGAAAAGAAATTCAGACAGTGGGGGGAAAATTGTATTTAACTTTGTATATATAATCATGCCAGTAAAAAAAATTAAATTCCAATACTTTTATTTATTTATTTTTTATTTAGTTTTGTATTTATACCTCGCCCTCCCCACGAACGGGCTCAGGGCAGCTTACAAGAGGGCAAGATATGCCCATACATAAAAACAGGATAAAAACAGTAAAAACCAATGAATATTATTATTTATTTATTTTATTACATTTATACCCCACCCTCCCCGCGAACGGGCTCAGGGCGGCTCACATAAGGCACCAAGTGCGTTCAGTATACAAAATTACATAATACAAACTACAAATTTAAAACAAATTAAAATCAATTCTACGGATGCACATATAAACTCCCAACATCTTGCGTAGCAGGGGGGGGAAGGCTGGGGTGGTGAAATATGTTACCCAACCCCTCCAGTGGTCTCTCTCTATAAAGGCGCGGTGGTGTAAGTGGCCGTGGCGGCTCCTACTCATAAGCCTGGCGGAAGACCTCCATCTTGCAGGCCCTGCGGAACTGCACAAGGACTCCTGCAGGGCCCTGATCAGAGTTGGCCACGCCCACTACAGCCAAAACCTCTACATGCATGGCTACAGAGGGAAGGCCTGGAGAGCGACACCCCTGGCGACTCCAAGGCAGGCGGGCCGGGGGGGTGCTGCTGGAAGGATCGGGGAGGCATTTAAATGTCTCCCTGTGTCTTCCCTGACTTGTCCAAAGGAAGGCATGGGTGTGGGCCTAATATGCTAATGAGCTGCACTGTCAAGGGTGTGGCCTGTTATGCTAATGAGTTCCTGCTGGGCTTTTTCTACAAAAAAAGCCCTGGCTAAGAGTCTGTCTTTGTACTAATTTTTACTAACACTATCCAAAGCATCACGAAATAGTGATCACAAGCTTCACCTGACTGGATGTTAAGAAACATGCTCCCCCCCATGAAGGTGCCCCCATCGTCCATTGTTTCCAAAGGACTACAGTCAAACCAAAGAACCTCTGCAGTAGAAACTGAAGGGGGGCATTTGTGCACCCCAGCAGAACCAGTGCAATGTACAGCATAATATTAACAAAGGTCTTGAGACCAAGAAGTGAAAATAAATGGGGAACACACAAAAAAATTAGATGAAGGGAGAAAGAGATGAAGAGGAAACGTGTGGAAAAGAGGGAGAGTAAGAAAGGGAAAGGTTGTTTTATCTTGCTGCAACACCCTAACTACTGCTTTGCAAGATCTGGCTGAACTGGGTGCAAGGAAAGGGAGAGAGATAGGCTAGGCTATTGCAGAAAATGACGTGCAGGCTGGCAATTACTGTAGCAGCTATCAGCAAGATCTGTTAAGGAAGTTTGTTTGAGTCTTGGAGAAAAGGGAAGCGTAGCCAATCCTAGAGCTTTTTGCTATGCTTAGACTTCCCTGCATCCCTAGTGGCTGCAGCCAGAACTGCATTTTAAAAATAAAAGGAAAGGCATTTGGCTGGAGGCAGCGGGATGACACTGGCTTCGAGGACACACTTCAAAACTTGGCCCAGAGTGGACTGCCCCCTTAGTACGCCACTGGTAGGGCATGATTTCAGAATTGCTGATTCTCTCCCCCCCATCATGATTTCTCAGAGGCCCCAGCATGTATCTAATAATACAAGTGGCTAGCCCACATAGTTATAACAAAAACAACAGGGTGGGTATTTCTGCATACTTGTGGAATTCCTAGAAAATAAATAAACCTGAAGGAAGAAAACTTCTACAACTGTCCTGCTGAGTACTAAATCAACTTCAGGAACACAGACTATTAGGAGCATATGAAGGGGGAGGAGAGATCAGTCAACTCAATAGGGTTACCAGGCCCAGCCTGGCAACCAACAGGAGACTGAAAGGAGACATGGGTGGCATCAGGCAATAATGTGACATCACTTCTTGGAAAACCTGGAAGTGATATCAAACGTCTGTAGCAATCAGTCAGAATTCTATGGGAAAATCCAGAAGTGACATCAATCCCCTCTAGGAACCAGCCAATTCCTACAGAGGTGGGATGTCACTTCTGGGTTTTCCTGGAAGAGATATCATGCAGTTAAACGTTTTATTATTCTCCCCCTGCCAGTCTAAGCAGCAATGGGAAAAGCCAGCTGGGGGAAGGGGATCCCTAGTTATGGGATCTCAAGAACCCCATGATTCCTCACAGTCCCCCCCCCCCCAGCTTGTTCTGACTTTCCTTTATATGTTTAATTCTCCACAGTATAGACAGAAAGGTGCTTCAGTTAAAGGGGAAAATGATATATCATTACTGGCCTTGAAATATATACATGGGAGGCCCATCACTTTTAAATACAGTCCTGTGAGTTTTCTGGGTTCTAATATCTGCATAACGCTCCAGCAAGAGTGGACTTTAGATTTAGGTTACTAGAGTTTTTATACAAAGCATATAAAGTTTTCACTATTCTGTTATTTCAAAAATTCAAACCAGAAATCAGTCTTCCAAACTGCCGGATTCATTTTTCAACAGGTCCTAGAGCTTTTTGCTATGCTTAGACTTCTGCCGGATTCATTTTTCAACAGATTAGATTCTCGTAATATTTGTTTTGTTGTTGTTTAAAGAACAGAGCAAATTTACTTACTGGAGATTTGGCTTTGGCAGCAGTTAGCAAAGACATTGTAATTTCAGAAAGGTAATCAAAAACCAGGAAATCCAGCTTCCCTCCATACAGCAACTGAGGAACTAATAACAGGAAATAATTATCTTTAGCATAACCTAACTGCAATATAAAAAACATTCAGAAATAATTCAGAAAAAAGACACAACCAATTGTAAGTGAGAATATGACCAACAGTGCACTAAAACTAGGCCTAGACATAGGCATAATCATACATAGATTTAGGCATTAAATTAAGGGCGTGATTATGCAAACATAATTAAAAGAAAATGTATACCCAATTATACCTAGGTGGGGAGGGCGGGGTACAAATTAGGGCTACCAAGTCCCCCAGGGGGGTGGGGAAACCCCCGCCCGGGAGGCGCGTTCCCCGGTGGTGCCGGATCGGGCCCCGGGGAGGAACCCCACCCCCAAAACACATCACACGGAAGTGACGTAAGCACGTCCGGGACATTGAGAGCGGGGCCACAATCATCCGAGGGAAAACTCTATGTTTTTCCCTCAGATGATTTTTCCCAGACGTGCTTACGTCACTTCCGTGTGACGTGTTTTGGGGGTGGGGTTCCTCCCCGGGGCCCGAAGACTCCCGGAGCAAGCCGGGACTCCCCCGCTCCAGGAGAGTTGAGAACTTGGCAACCCTAGTACAAATTCAAATAATAAATTAAATAAATGAATAAAACCAAAAGTAGCAGGGTTCAATCCTACCTGAACTGACCAGTAAACCTTGGTCCTTAATTTCAGGTGTGTATACCTGTCCCCACTGTGGTGAGAGACATGCACTCATGTCAGATTTGACCTAGCACTGAGTACAGGCTAGGGTTGCCAAATGGGGGCAGGGGGCGGGGAAACCCCCACTTTGGCGGCCCAATTTCTGCCGCGGCAGAATCGGGCCCTGGGGGGAACTCCGCCCCCCAAAGCTGCATCACCAGAGGTGACGCGACCACGTTGCTGACGTTGGGGGCGTGGCTGAGCTCGTCGGGGGGGAAACCATATGGTTTCCCCCCCGATGAGTTCGGCCACGCCCCCAAGTCAGCAACGTCGCACGTCACTTCTGGTGACGTAGCGGCGCGCGCGCAAACGCACAGAGCCTACTCCCGGACTCATCGGAGCCTCCCCCACCGGTAAGTTTGACAGACTTGGCAACCCTAGTACAGGCTTCAATTCAAACTTACTATCAATCTATCTAATTCTCACCATGGCCAAATATGTGGATACTTATATCCAGAAACTGAAACCACACACAAGATGGATCTTTCTACTAACAAGAAAAATGCCTCAGACGTGCAGATAATCTTTAAAAAAAAATACACAGGGCAGCTAAATCCCCTCCTCCCCAAATAATAAGCAGTGCCTGTAGTTTTAACAAATGAATTCACTTGGTGGCTATTGCTAGGCAACCACAACAGTATTGCCAGCCTTCAAACCCTGATTTCTGTCAGTAATTGGGGAAGGGGGCAAGGCTGTTTTGGCCTTTAAGTAAGAATTCCTCAGTGGCAGGTCTGTGAGCACCCAGCAAGTGACTTCATACCACATGATTTGCATAACTTTGCTGCCTGCTACGGTTCCAACAGCAGAGTTTCAGACTGTAATCTGGGAGACCCAGGTTCAAATCCCCATTCTGCTGTGGAAACTCATAAAGTGACCTTGGGCCACATGCTGTCAGCCTAATTTACCTCACAGGGTTGCTGTGAGGATAAAATGGAGGAGAGGAAGGAAGAATGATGTAACCTGCTTTGGGTCCCTTTGTGGAGAAAAAATAAATGGAGAAAATAAATAATACAGCTGAAGATGGAGGGGGTAATTAAAAGGTAGGCTGATTGTTGGGAAGGAGAAAAGAAAGCAGGGAAATGTGAGGATTTGGGGTTTGCCAGAAGAGGAAATAATGTGGAGAAATAAGGTATGTGTCCCCCCCACACACACACACAAATCTTTGTGGAACTGGGCCTGGCCTGGCTGCCTGCCAGCACTGCACAACTGGGCCATAGTTTTCCTTGATAAGGACTGCTGGGGTGAGGGAAGGAGGAAAAGCTGAAGATAGGAAGCAGATAAAGGTAGGGTGGCTGGTGGGTGGGAAGGAGAGAAGGAAGCAGGAAAAAGCTGTGGGGCTTTCAGGGAAGGGGAAGAGGAAATAGTGGGTGAGGAGAAAATGAGATGCTCCCTGCCTGTCTGTCTATACTCTTAAGAAACAATTTTTATATCCATTTACATTGGTGCAGTCCAATGGAAACCTCTGTGAATCCTGATTCTATATACACTTTCATATAAGTATGAATGAATTTCATGCTGGTTACATCCTCCCAAGTAAGTACCCATAGGACTGCAGCTTTACAGTTTACTCTAATGTATATTCACAGATGGGGCCATGAATCCTTCTGGGATACTTGTAAGGCAGAGACGTTCCACCAGGCCTATGGTTTAGGGCAGCAACTTTTTAAAATTAGCCTGGCCTCCTTTCTGTTCACTCCCCCACGTTGGGGTAAGGTGATTTGATAGTCACCATCTGGAATGGTCACTGCATCTGTTTTATTGTTTTTAATCTATTTTAAATTTATGATTGTATCCCTGAATGTTGTACACCACCCTGAGCCCCAAGTATGGGGAAGGGCGGTTTAGAAATCAAATCAATAAATAAAATAAAATAGCTGATCTCTGAACTACGAAGATCAGTTTCCTTGGAGGAACCATAGTCTCTCTCTGTGTGTATGTGAAGTGCTGTCGTCACTACCAATTTATGGCGACCCTATGACCATACAGTCTAGGAGAATCAGATGTTCTAGAGCTCTATACTATACCATAAAGATTAGGAGAAACCAATAGTCATCTATAAATGCAAAAGACTAGATGTTAGTTGGGGATTGAGATAGGGATGGGAATACTGTTGGCTGGTGCCCCCCCATGGGTCTTTGAATGTTTCTCCGTAGGATAGTCTACAATTAGCAGAATGCATCCATTAAATCGGTGCGGTGGCTCAAGTGGTTAAGACACTAAACTGCAGACTGGAAGGTTGGTAGTCCAGCAGTTCGAGACCCGAGTGTGCCGCATGATGGAGTGAGCTCCCGTCTCTGGTCCAAGCTCCTGCCAACCTAGCAGTTCAAAAGCAAGCAATTGCAAGTAGATAAATAGGTACCACTTTGGTGGGAAGGTAACAGCATTCTAGTCATGCCGGCCACATGACCACAGAAATCTTTGGACAGCGCTGGCTCTTTGGCTTGGAAACGGAGATGAGCACCACATTCCTAGAGTCGGATTCGACTGGCTTTCAAGTAAGGGAAACCTTTACCGTTACCTATCCATTAAATTAGTGGAAATATTGTGCAAATTACATTAATAGCATGCCATCTATATAGCTCTAAATCATGCCCAAGCTTCAATGTGGTTCCTAGGGTGCATGCACGGGGTTATGCCTTTTCATTTTATATCTGTATTAGGGTTGCCAGGCTTTAGATGCAGCCTGAAGATCTCAAGGAATTACAACTGATCTCCACGCTACAGAGATCAGTCCCCCTGGAAGAAATGACTGCTGTGGATTCTATGGCAT